TGCTTTCTTGTTCAAATTCTTCATCAATTCCTCCAATGCCGCATTGTACCTCTCAAGTTCCTCCAGTTCAAGTCCGTCCACCTTCTCAGCCCACCAGAACCTGCCACCGTCAATCACCCTGTTCTCCGCCACCGACTCCTTACAAATCCCAGAATAATCCTTTCCATGGTCTGGTGTTTTTCCAGAGTTTTCCACAGAACCAACAGGACTTCCGTTCTCAAAACGATCGATTACGGAATCCACGTTGTTGTGCCCAAAAGCATAGAAACGTTTGCCGGCTACCGATTGTACAATAATAGCGATTTCAGCGCCAGTCAGAACACAAAGTTCCCTCGCTTTCTTGAAAAGTCCAACTCGGCGTTTGGAAAAAGTCACCTGCCGGTTGCTCAACCTCTCTATTTTCTTCATATCAATCTTCCTTCTACCCAGCGTTTTCTTCTTCATCACGGCGTCACTTTCCTTATTCATCACCATCTTACGAACAAGAGAGAGAATGAGTCTGAGAGAATTTTATAGTAATTCTGAAACTCGGTGGGGAGATTGGTTATATACAGGGGTTATGGTGTTCTGACCGTTGGGGGCTGTGAAGGGTTGACTGTTCAAATTATTTCCTAACTAACTTCATTGGTATGTTTTGATAAAATCCAAGTAAAAGGATTCTATAAGAATATATCAAACCGCTATGATTCCGCTCTTGAAGTGACTTTCAAATAGTTAATAATATTGTATAACTATGAACAACATAGGTGTTTGACATGAAATTTTTATCTTATTTTAGAATAGATTATTTAAAATAATAAACATTTTTAACATTATTTTATTAATATTAAATTAACTCTATCTGATAAAAGAAATATAGTTGTTTATTTAAGAAAGACATCGGAAATTAACATTACAATTTTTAATAAATCATTTCTAGAAGTTAAATAATTACAAAAGAATCATTTATTACATTTTTAAGTTTTTCAAATGATAGACACGTCGAACCACGGTCAAACACTCAATATTCCATCTTCCCATCTTAGGAGAGTTGACACCAATTTCTAGTATATGGTCACACCTACAATGCAAAAATATTTGAGCGAATATTCAACAAGTAACAGTACACATGAACATGTATACGATTGACAATAATTTTCTCTTTATGGAGTCATCCTCGAAATTCATACATTAATGTCTAATTATCTCAAAATATTTATCATTTTAATTTTTTGGCATAAATCTTATTACAGTGATCATATAAGCTTACTGACAACGACATGCGTGCCTTCCAATGCCTATGGGACCTTTGTCATCCACCGAGATTGTAACACCCTAATCTCTTGTTTGACAATCATTATTTTCATATTCTTTTTTCTACATACTCATTTTCAATCACATTCACACAATAAAATATTTTACACATAAATCAAAAACTTCTCCTACTTTTTAGACACGCAGTATTCTCTCAAAAAAATTCTATTCAAAACTTTGTTTTCTCCATTAATGGTTGTTAAACAGGGGCTAAAATAGATACTCTAGACTTAAAAGTATTATCATTTAATTCTCTTCAAAACATAAATGCAGAATAATGATTAAACTTTTCTTTAAACTAATAAAGATTTATTACTTTCTTTTGAAGAATTCTTAGAATTTTTTGTACTTAATACAGGCATAAGAGAATTAAATTAAATGTTTTTTTTTTAATTTCAAAACGAAGTCAAATTTTAATGTGTTAGTAGTAATTAAGTATGTCTCATCACAAGTAGTCGACTCTAATAATCTTGCATGCGTCATCTGAAAAATAGAAGGGAATAATATGCAATGAACTAACACTCAGTAAACAAACATACATATGATGTATACTTATGATATACATATGTATTACTTTAAAATAAATAAATTTTCTCAATCTGTATTTCATTTTCTTTCATTTCTTTAAATATTTAACATTGATATTGTGGATTCACTTAATGTATCATCTAGCCAATTAGAATGCAGTGAACCATTATTATTTGGAATTCGTTTAATCTACTGTTTGTAACGTAAAGATGTTAATATTAAACATTAAACATTCACCATCAATATTCAATATTGGTCGGGTAGCAAGTCTTCCACACGCCATTTCCTACTCAAATCTTTCAGATAATAATATACACCTCCTCGAAAAAAATATTTGAGACATATCTTTTTAAAATATTCATTGCCACATTAATATTAAATTTATTTTTATTTTTATTTTTTATTTCATGAAACTTCATGCATTCTTATGGATGCATTGACATGCATAAATTTGTCATGAGAAAAATTAATGACATAAAAAATAAAATATTATGTTCACCTAAAAACAATTTAAGTAATCACTTATACATTTAATAATGTAACGTACACATTAAGACAATAAAGTATTTACTTATCTTGAATTTTTGCAATTCACTTTTTAAATAGCAAATGAAGATTTTCCTAGCAGTCCACCAGTCAACGTTCCAAAAAGTCCTAAATCAATCGTTATTTATTAAAAACTTCAACATACTTATTTTTTTATCTTTCATTTTTTTTAATATACCATAAGAGTAACAACGTCACTAAGAATGCTATATCAATTGTATACACCACATAGTAATAAAACCAAAATATAAAATAAATGGCTAATTGCTTTAAATTGTGTAATAAACAATGCTTCGAATTAGTGCATCCTTAAATTTTACCAATATTACTGAGGATTTGCTTGCGAGTTTCAACGTACCAGTTATGAGTCAATATGAGTCGAAAACTTCTTTTCGACTTATGTGTATAACTTGGCCAACGATTTCGTTATTAACTTAATTGAACGAAATGCAGATCACGACCTCTTACTATCTAATAGTGACGAATTCTCTATTGATCACTCACAACCTTCATATGGTTGTTAACATACCCGAACGATGTCGTATTAGCGGCTCTTGGTAGAGCAACATCCAACACCGTCAAAGCATGACTATCCTTATACAAGGCACTATGATGACCTCAAGCCATAGGACCAATTCCACTACCGAACATTAGAGATTAACCACTGACACTTAGATAGTTATCTATGTAGAATCTCTTCGCAGGTCTCCAATATTTTGTTCTATAACAAAACATCCACGTATTCATTTAAGTGTCACCACACTTTAACTTGTGAGATCAGCTACTTACTTCACAAGTAAAAAATGCCACACGTGATGATCTATCTGTAGTAATGATATTCGTATCTCGTTATTAATTACGACCACAGATTATTCAAGATCCAATCATACGTAATTTGTATATCATAATCACAACTCTTTGTGATTAACAAATCACTTAAACTTGAATTTTCAGACTCTATTATTTAATATTATTTATCGGAAAATTAATTTAAATAAATAATAGATCTTGTCATAATTAAATACATTAAACATATTAAAAGTGTTTACAACCTAAATCGATTGGATTTAGGGTATAACACTTACAACCTCCCACTTGCACTAGATCTAATCACTCATGTATCTAATACCATAAGCATCCACATGACGATCATATTTCTGTTGTGACAACGGCTTTGTCAATGGATCTACAATATTTTCATCTATGGGAACTCGGTCTATCGTTACGTAATTTCTTTGTATAATCTCCCTGATGAGATGATATCGTTTTAGCACATGTTTGGATCGTTTATGAGACCTCGATTCCTTCGCTTGTGCGATGGCTTGATTATTATCACAATACAAAAGTATGGGATCAACAATGCTAGAAACGACTCCCAGTTCATTAATGAATTTCTTGATCCAGACAGTTTCCTTCGCTGTTTCAGAAGCAGCAATGTACTCGGCTTCTGTTGTTGAATCAGCGGTTGTCTCCTATTTGGAACTTTTCCAACTAACTGCTTCATTGTTGTGAGTAAACGTATACCCTGATTGAGACTTGCTATCATCTTTGTCAGTTTGAAAGTTGGCATCAGTATACCCATTAATTTTTAGTTCATTTCCTTCATAGATCAAGAACACATCTTTAGTCCTTCTCAAGTGCTTAAGAATGTTCTTAACCGTTATCAAGTGTTTCTCACCAAGGTTTGCTTAAAACCTGCTCGTAACAATTATAGCATATGAAACATGTGATCTCGTACGTAGCATCACTACATGATAGATCCTATAGCCGAAGCATAAGGAATCTTATCCATGCGATTTCTTTCGTCATGTGTTTTAGGACACATGTCTTTTGAGAGGTAAATCTCATGTGAAATGGGACATAAACCTCTCTTAGACTCCTCCATATTAAATCTTCTCAAGAATTTATCTATATACGAAAATTGGGATAAGCCTAGTAATCTTTTAGATCTATCTCTATAGATTTTGATTCCTAAGATATACGCTACTTCTCTCATATCTTTCATGGAGAAATTCTTTGACAACCATAATTTTACCGATTGAAGAATTGGGATGTCATTTCCCATTAATAATATGTTATCGACATATAATATTAGGAATATGACCACGTTCCCACTTGTCTTCTTGTAAACACACGGTTCATCTTCATTTTTGATAAAATAAAACCTTTTGATTGTCTCATCAAAATGAAGATTCCAACTCCTTGAGGCTTGCTTTAATCCATAAATGAATTGATTTAGCTTATATACTTTGTTGGCTCCTTTGGATTCAAAACCTTTAAGTTGTGTCATGTACACCTCCTCTTGTAAGTTTTCATTAAGGAAAACAGTTTTGATATCCATTTGTCATATCTCATAATCATGGTATGCAGCTATTGCAAGCAAAATCCGAATGGACTTTAGCATGGCTACAGGCGAAAAAAGTTTCTTCAAAGTCAACGTCTTGCCTTTGTATGTAACATTTTGCTACTAGCCTTGCTTTGTATGTATGGACGTTTCCATCCACATCGACCTTTTTCTTGTACATCCATTTACAACCTATCGATTTTATCCCACCTGGAAGGTTGACCAAGGTCCAAACCTTGTTCTCATACATTGAGTTCATTTCGGATTCCATGGTTTCTTGCCATCTCTTCGAGTCGACACTTGACTTCGCTTCTGTGTAATTCATAGGTTCATCTTCCTCGACTAATAATACTTGATTAGTAATCGTGAATTCGTACATTTTGGGAGGTCAAATGATCCTACTTGATCTACCCTGAGCTGGAGTGTACTCAGGGTTCTCCACATCCTGATCAAGAGTCTGTCCGTCAACAGGTGTGGGATCAGACTCAGGTTTATCTAATTGATCAACAGCTATTTTGCTCTCACTACCCTTTCCTAGAATAAACTATTTTTCTAGGAATATGACATGTCTTGAGATTAACACCTTTTTCTCAACGGGATTATAAAACTGATATCCAATTGTCTCTTTTGGATATCTCACAAATACACATTTATCAAATTTAGCCTCAAGCTTATCTGATTCATTTCGCTTTACATAAGCGTCACAGCCCCAGACTTTCATGTGAGATAAGTTTAGTCTTTTTCTTCTCCATAGCTCGTATGG